ACTAAGCCAGATTTTCCTTTCTTATTGTTCTCTAGTTCAATTGCTACCTCGAATTGATCGTCAATGGTGACTGAGAAGATTGACCATACACATCCATTGTTCCTTCAACCTTCGGACACACTGGGCTTGGTGTTAATTCCAATTCAGCTCATAGGTTCTGAAAACTATGGCCTATGGAGCAGATCGATGAGACTGACTCTAAAGGCTAAGAGAAAATTAGGGTTCATCATAGGGGATTGCAAAAAGGAATCGTTCAAGGATGCTCTCCATGAGGAATGGGAGACTTGCAATGCAATAGTACACTCATGGATCATGAACTCAGTCTCGAAGGATCTCATTAGTGGAATCATATACGCGTCGGATGCGCATGCCGTGTGGGAAGATCTCAAGAAACGATTCGATAAAGTGAATCGAGTGAGGATTTTTCAGATACACAAGGCAATTTCAAGGCTTTCACAAGGAACCGACTCTGTTGTTGTTTACTTTACCAAGCTAAAAGAGCTTTGGGCGGAATACGATGTGTTGGTGTCTTCACAGAATTGTGGTTGTGCGAAGGCTAAGGAACACATTGTTCATCTATATCAGCAATAATTGACGCAGTTCCTAAATGGGCTGAATGATACATATGATCAGGCATGACGTCAGATTTTGATGAAGACCACTGAACTAACACTTAATCAAGCATATGTATTGATCACTCAAGATGAAAGTCAAAAAGCTATGGGAAACCTATCAGTGATAGAAAAACTCGATCCTTTGGCTATGCAAGCAGGAAGAGGCTAAGGTTATCATGGAAGGAAGCAGTTCCTACAGTGCGAGCATGCAAAAATGAATGGACACTCTAAGGAAAATTGCTTCAAAATCATTGGATATCCAGACGACTTCAAAATGAAGAGAGGGCATCAACCAAGAGCAAGTCCTATGATAGCCAATAATGTTGAAGGGCCACCTGGAAAATAAATAGTAGTGAATTCACAAAGCAGACGTGATTATTATTTCACTGAGGCCCAATATTAACAAATTCTGAACCTACTCAACAAGGAAGGACCTGGTGATATATTTGTGCAGACACAAGCTAATATGGCAGGTACTATTTGTTCACTTTCATCAAGCATGCATCCAGATGAGTGGATTGTTGATTCAGGTGGTACATACCACATAGCTTCTCCTTTGAATCTGTTAAGCAATATTCAGAGTATTGATAAGCATAAAAAGGATTCAGTAAGGTTGCCTAATGGAACTAGTACTGATATTATTCATATTGGTAATTCACAATTATCAACTGATAGCATATTAAAGAATGTCCTTCATGTGCCAGATTTTAAGTTTAATTTGATGCCAGTATTAAAGTTAACAAGAGACCTATCATGTGCTGCTCTATTTTTACCTGAGTTGGTTGTATTTCAGGACCTCTATAATGGAAAGGTGAGGGGGATTGGTAAGAAAAGTGAAGTATTGTACTTGCTGAAAGGAAGATGAGTGAGACAATTAGTAGCTGCAATTAAGCTTGAAAGTAGAGGAGGAGATTCAAGTTGGATATGGCATATGAGGCTAGGACATGCTTCAACACCAGTGTTGCAACACATTCCATTTCTGAAGAATAAAGTAGATAGCAGTTTGCATAATAGATGTTTTGTATGCCCTATGGAAAAGCAGTCTAGGCTTGCCTTTCCTGATAGTGAATAGAAGAGCATTAAACCTTTTGAACTTGTACATATGGATGTTTGGGGGCCATATAGAGTGTCAACTCGTGATAGAAAGTACTATTTTCTAACTGTTGTAGATGACTACTCATGAGCAACTTTGATATTTCTAATACAATTGAAGAGTGAGACCATTATTTTTTTAAAGCAATTTTTGTGCATGGTTAAGACCCAATTTGATACCTCTATTAAGGTGATTCGAACAAATAATGGAACTGAATTCTTTAACAATTAATGGAACACTCTTCTACAGGATCAAGGAGTGATTCATTAGAGTAGTTGTGCTTACACTCCACAACAAAATGGAGTTGTGGAGAGAAAGCCCTGGCACATATTAGATACTGCAAGGGCACTAAAGTTTCAAGCAAATCTACCATAAAAGTTTTGGGGAGAGTATGTGCAGACAACTGTTTACATCATAAATAGATTACCCTCTAAAGTGATGGCTGGCAGGAGTCCCTATGAGCTATTACATAAAAGAAAACCATCACTTAATCATCTAAGGGTGTTTGGTTGTCTATGCTATGCTACATACCTAGTGAAGGAGGATAAGTTTGCACCTAGAGCTAAGAAATAAGTCTTTTTGGGATACTCATCTACACAAAAGGGATATAAATTGTTTGATTTAGAAACTAATTATTTTTTTGTCAGCAGAGATATTACTTTCAGGGAATCTGTTTTTCCTTTCAAGGAGACTCAAATGCAGATTAATCCACACACAGTGATACATAACCAAGATGATTTCATATGTCTACAGCAGGACAACAGACATGTTGTGTAAATACAAATCCCAGAGGAGCATGGTCAAGCAACAGAAATGCCAGTTATGACTACACCATTGGAACAACCTGCAGAAGCCACACCTGGAAATTCAGCAGCTACTAAAAGAGAAGTTGAAGGCCTGACAGAAGGCTTTGAATAGCTAGATAAGATCATGAAATCCATAGCACCTACAGTTTTAGCTGAGGCGACAATAGTTCATGTTGCAGATCCTGTTGCAGAAAATGCATATCATTTGGCAATTCCAACTTTGCAAGGAATTTCAGCATATGAAGGAATTCCAACTGCAGAAATCAGGCAATCGGCAAGAAAGCCACCTATATGGATGCAAGACTATGTTACAAAGAAGCAGAAAATCTACATAGTGTGCCTACTCCATCTCTAACTACCTATCTTATGACACTGTAACTCAGAAATACAGAGATAACTTGAATGCTTTTTTAGTATTGAAAGAGCCACATTCCTTCTAGGAGGCAGTAAAAGACAAAAGGTGGATGAGATAATGCAGCAAGCGGTGAAGGCTCTAGAGGATAACAGAACTTGGAAAGTCTACTATTGGATCTAAGTGGGTATACAAGATCAAGTATAAGTCAAATGGAGAAATGGAAAGATTTAAGACAAGACTTGTAGCAAAGGGATACAATCAACATGAAGGTTTAGACTACCATGAGACATTCTCTCCAATTTCCAAAATTGTGATTGTGAGATCTGTCATAGTTGTTGCAGCCTCCAAAGATTGGAAACTTTATCAAATTGACGTATTTAGTGCATTTCTTCAGGGAGATCTGTATGAAGAAGTGTACATGGACTCGCCACAAGGCTTTCAAAAGCAGGGGAGAAAAAGGTATGCAGGCATTTGAAGTCCTTGTATGGACTTAAGCAAGCATCAAGGAAATGGAACTTAAAGCTCACAGAAGCATTAGTCAATGCGGGTTTTCATTAGAGTGTTTTTGATTATTCCTTGTTCACCAAAAGATCTGGGAGTGACATAGTTATTATTCTCATATATATAGATGACATGCTCATTACTAGAAGCAATAGTATCATGATTAATGAGGCCAAGGAAGTTCTACATCAGCAGTTCAAGGTCAAGGATCTTGGTGAACTGAGATACTTCTTAGGCATAGAAGTCTTGAGATCACAATATGGTATTTTGCTTAATCAAAGAAAATACACATTGGAGTTGATTTTCGAGTTAGGACTGAGTGGAGAAAAGCCTGCAGTCATACCATTGGAGATAAATCAGAAGTTAACTTCAGTGGAGTATGATAAAGGAGCTGGAGTGCAGGAAGATGATCTTATGGTTGACATTACATGATATCAAAAGCTCATAGGAAAGCTTTTATATCTGATAGTCACTCGGCTAGATATAAGCTATGCAGTATAGAATCTTAGCCAATTTATGCAAGCCCCAAAGAAATCCCACATGGATGTAGCTATTAGAGTGGTTAGATATCTCAAGGCAGCACCTGGCATGAGAGTTCTTATGCACATGGAATCTACAGACACACTGGTAGGATTTTGTGATTCAGATTGGGCTGCCTGTCCTACCACTAGGAGGTCAGTCAGTGGAACTCTTTCGTTTCATGGAAATCAAAAAAACAGCATATAGTATCTAGAAGCAGTGCAGAAGCAGAATACAGAAGCATGGCTTCTGCATTTGCTGAGATTGTTTGGCTAACTGGGATGTTTCATGAGTTAGGGATTACATTAAAAAACCAGTTACCCTTTGTTGTGACAGCAAAGCTACAATGCAAATTGCAGCAAATCCCATATTCCATGAGAGAACCAAACATATCGAGATCGATTGTCATTTTATACGGGGAAAAATCAAACAAGGATTGTTGGAGACTAAGTATGTGCCTACTAAGGATCAACTAGCAGATTTACTGACCAAAGGATTGAGCTCAGGACAACATCACTACTTATTAGGCAAGCTAGGAGTGTTAAACATTTTACACCATCCAGCTTGAGGGGGAGTGTTGAAATGCTGTATATAAGCCTTAGTTAGTATAGGGGAGTTTGTAAATATTAAAAGTTAGAGGTATACATTAGTTATTTAGCATAGTTATAACAAAATTAGTTAGTTGATTAGTTATAAATATCTGTAAAAAGTCCCATTTTACAGTTGAATGAAAATATCGACATTTCCTTCTCTGAAGCTCCCTCAATGGTAGAATCCCAACAATATTCTTTTTCTTTATTTGAAAAGCATACATATATGCTAGTAATTAAAAAGGGCGTTGTCCTATTCTAAAGGCTCGTAATTAAAAAGGACGTTGATTAGTTGTATATTCTTTTTCTAGCATATACATATATGCTAGAAATCCTACAGAATATGATACGGAATATTCTGTGAATATTAAACTATTTAGGTTGCATTTCCAAATTCCGCTGGTGATTGAGATGAATGAACAAAAAAAACCTCAAGAAATATTGCCCTCGACCTGACTCATTCATTCATCTCAGTTATTTTCAGCACTTGGGCTAAAAGGAAAAAACTAAAAACAATTGTAATGGAACGACATGTTAAAATAGATGTTTGTTCAACGTAACGTCACATTTATGGAGCACGGATAAATGTTCAACAAAAAGGGTAGCTAGACATCACTTGAGAAATAGAGGAGAGGGATATTCTTTTTTCTTTATTGGAAGAGCATACATATATGCTAGTAATTAAAAAGGGCGTCGTCCTATTCTAAAGGCTCGAGGAACAAAGACGCCATCTCAATTGCTGTCAACGCTGCTTCGGCACCTTTATTTCCCCACTTACCACCAGCACGATCGAAAGCCTGCTCCAATGTATCACATGTCAATACACCAAATATGCAAGGCGTACCCGAATTTAGACCTGCTGAAACTACTCCTGATGTGGTTGCATTAACGACCGCATCATAGTGAGACGTATCACCTCTTATTACTGCCCCAATACACAGTATCCCTTGATATTTCCGGGACTTTCCAAGCTGCTGTGCGGCCAAGCCTATTTCAAAACAGCCAGGAACCCACACAACATCGACATCTTCTGAGTTATAACTCTTGAAAGTGCGCAACGCTCCCTCCAAAAGTTTCTTTGTGATTAGATCATTGAAACGTGCAACCACAATAGCAAAGCGATGGCCTTGAGTAGAGGTAACAGAACCGGTCAACTCACGAACAGCACATGTTTGAAACCGGTTTTGATATTCCTCCCGACAACGTTTCTGATCAATTACAGAACCGAAACCTTCAGGTTGGGTGAATATTGATAGTGCACGTGATGAGGAGGTTATTAAGCTTTGTCTGTGGAAAGACAAAGAGAAAGGGTGACGAGGAGACTGCAGTTGTGTGGGTTTTGTACGAGGTAGAAGATTGCACTGTCCTAAAGCGGAAGTTGCCATTTTTCTTGTTTTCTCTTTTTGACTCTCTTAGGACTTGGGATGAATGTGAATTTGCTTTTATGTGAGTGTTGACGAGGACTTGACTTTGGTTTTCTTCATTATATAGTTGGTCTTGGAACGGTAGTTTGGACTAAGGAGTGCCATATTCACGCCGAAATTGCTCGGCATGTCCCATGCCTTTAAAATTCGGCCTGTCCCATGCCGGATTATATTGATATTCAATTTTTGTCTTTGTTTTGGTATTTAATGTTGCCCCTTCTCTTCCATTCCTTCAAATTAAAGATTGAGATTTTTGATTGAAAATGCAATTCTATGGATGGCGTAACGTGGACTTACTTATCCAACTGTCGAAGAAGTGTAGTGTAGTGAAGTGAAGTGAAGAACGAGATTCAAACTTATATACCTGAAATAAGCTAATGATCCGAATGCCAAAGCAGCTAGATCAATTCACAACCATTTTGTTTTATTTATTTTGTTTTAGGAAAAAAGTTTAAATTTAGATCTCTACTAGAAATATCTTAATCTTAGTTAATTGTCTTGTATTTATCATTGACTTTAATTTCAATGTGAACTAGGCGAATTTCACGTGTCAAAATTAATATTCCAAACAAATCCAAACGTAACTTTCTGTTTTTTATGACGATCTAAGAATTTATTTCATTATACTTTAGGTTGGACCTCCATTAGAATGAAGGATAAATACGAGACATAGTTGCTAACGAAGAGAATATAAATGGCTCCTAATATATAACATATGATAAAAGATATTTAGATTTGGTATAGTAGATGATATACATGGCCGACGTGTCAAAGCATGACTCTAGTATGATTTAAATTACATATACTTACTGTGAAATTTTTTAATTTATTGGTGTAATTAACATGTTGTTACAAGGTAATTTATTTTTCATGTTATTAATTTTTTTTTTGAATATTTAAATATAGTTATTTTTTAAGTGAATTAATAATTTACAATTTCCATAGTAATATCAGTATATAAAAGACAAATGTATACCAATATGTGTGTGATGTGTGAGATTATAAGCATGCATCAATATTTTATTCATTAATTTTTAGAATCAATATTCGTCATATAATTAAAAAAAGATATTATCATAACTAAGTGATAGAATATATATATATATATATTATTGGATGTTTACTAATAGGCTCGCATACAGCAAGGAAGAAAGAAAAATAGAGGTGCATGTGATGGACGGATCGGAGAATACCTATTATTATTGGATGTTTACATCTAAGGCTATCCAACGGGACGGGCCGTCCCGTCCCATTCCGGTCCCGGTCCCGTCCCGCGTCGTGTTCCGTCCCGTCCTGTTTCATTCCGTCCCACTTAATTCTAAACGGGATGGGCCCATGTTAAATGGGACACAAGATGGGAAGGTATGGCCATTTCGTCCCGTTTGTCCCGTCCCATCCCGTCATGTCCCGTCCCGCCTATCCCACGTCCTATTTTTTTTTGTGCATTATATACAAGAAACTTATAATCCTATTTTTCAAGGTTTTCCTAAGACCACGGTTAGAAATGATGTTTTTAAATTTCAAATCGAATATCTTCAGTATATTCATTGTGTATTTTTTCACTTAGATTGTAAAGTGTCTATCACATCTGATATAGGTCGTAGTCCTAATGGTTGTGATTATTTAACTGTTACATGTCATTGGGTTAATCATCACTTGAACATGCAAAAACGTATTATTGGTTATAGATTTGTTGATTCAAAACACACTAGAGCATATATTGCAACTATCATTCTACAAATTGTTAATTTTTATGGACTCATTGATAAAGTTTTAACTATCACCTTAGATAATGCTTTTACTAAGTGCTAACACAACTGCAACAACTAGCTTAATGAAATAATTGCAAAATTAATCCAACTTATGCACCGACCATTAATGAAATGATTGTAAAATTTTAAAAGTATTTTCCCCCTATTCCCCAAGTTTATTTAATTTCTACTAAACTTAACCTATCTTTAAAATTAAGAAGTGCAAATGGACTTGTTCGTAAAATTTATGAGAATTTAGCAATTCAAGAAATGAACAATCATCTCTCGAAGACTGCCAAGCTAACATATATTCTTATGTTAAATCAATATTTGATAAATATAAATCTATGGAAACAACAGGTGGTGAAACTAGGGAAGAAGAAGAATACAATGAGATACTTAGCACTGGGAGCTATGACGACATGGAACTCATGGAACATCAATCAACATTGCCAATTCCAGAACAATGTCCGAGAGAAATTATAGATAAGTTATAACGAAGTTATATAGGAGCTTACAAATATTAGTATGATAATTTGTAATTGGCTACTAAGAGGCCTAGTTCAAACAGAACCCTTCCTAGAAGGTGGNCGATCGGCTACTAAGAGGCCTAGTTCAAACAGAACCATTCATAGAAGGTGGTTGCATAGATTAGGTGCTCTTCAAAAGAATTATATTTGTATGTGAGATTTGAAAGTTCTATTAATAAAATAAAAGGCTCTAAGCGTTGAATTATTTTTATGAATTGTCTTACACTCTTACTTAGTTACTTAATGGCTTGAAATTATATTAAATAAATTATAACTCTATTATAAATTTATAATTACTAGAATATTTCATTACAAGTCTTTTGTTTTAATATTTTATAATTCTTTACTTAGTTTCCTAATTTTCGTTTAATTTTTAAGTTTATTAAATAAGTCAAAAAACTAGCTGTTGCAAACTTTAAAAACTTAGTCATTGTCAAAAGAATAGTCATTGCCAAACTCAATGCTTAAATAATATTTTTTTAAAAACGGCACTTAAGGCCCGCGAACCCGTCCCGTCTCGTTCCGTCCCATCTCGTTTGTTAGCGGGACGGGATGGGTCTACCGTCTGTCCCGTCCCATCTCGTTTGTTAGCGGGACGGGATGGGCCTATCGTTTCGTCCCGTTTGTCCCGTCCCATTTCGTCCCGTCCCGCCACCATCCCGGCTAAATGTCGTCTCGTCCCGTTTATTTTGTACCGTCCCGTTCCGTTGGACAACCATATTTACATCTAATGATAAATTATAATAAATGATGTTTATATATAATTTTAAATAATATTCTCTTTATCTCAATTTATGTGGCACTCTTTTCTTTTTAGTTTTTATTATTTAGAAATAATTTATCTTTAGAATTTCTATTTTTATCCTAAATGAATTGATTTACAACCACACAAGTATCTATGATTTGTTTTAAAAAATTTGAAAAGTTTTTCTTATTCTCTTAAACTTTGTGTCGTGTCAAACAGTCACACAAATTGAGACAGAAGGCTACAGTTGATTTATTTAATTTATCACTTAACTATAATAAAGTAATAAAGTTTGGTGTAAACAAGGGATATAAACAAGTATTCTAAGGTATGACCAATCAAGGAAAGAGAAAATAGACATTGCAGAATATTAATTAGGAGTGTATTAATAAAAATATGGATAATTGATCTAATCCACAATGCTTATCCAGAAAGGCAGACACCCCACCAAACTATCAAAAGCAAACACTTGTTGAGGAGGACTTGTAGTTGTAGCTGCACATTACGAGAAAAAAGAAATTTGGAATACATAAGTAATTGCCCCTTAATTTGTCCTAAACATTATTTATACACCTCAATTTTATGGGTTACCTAATACCTCTAAGCTTAGTTTCATGCAATGGAACTAATACAGTAAATCCTATTAAAGTGACCTATGCAAAAGAATTTGATTTCACCTTATTAAAGCGTGTGAGAAACGAAAAAAAAATGTTGGAAACACACTGATATGTATAGTTGTCATTTTCCCACTGGATGTTACATCTGATTACACTTAATTAGCTGTGTTTAGTCTAATCCTAACCGTTTTTCGTTTCTACTTTTTATATTTTTATTTATGCTTTTCTATTTTTTTCCTCTTTCTCTTTTTCCTTTTCTTCTTTTTATTTCCGCCATTATCATTGGAGCACCTCTTTCTTTCTTTTTCTTTTTTTTTTATCTTTCACCTTCTCCGTCAGTAATTTCACCGATACTGAACGTTGGATGTACAATTATAGTAACCAGCCACCACTTTTTCCTCAACGAAACAACAGTCACAATTTTGGCCGTTGATACCGAGTTAATCGAACATTTACAACCTTAACCATACAAATTAAAAGATTGTATTAAGCTGAACCATAAGGGAAATACTTAATTTCTTTATTTTTATTAAAAGCAAATATAGTATGGTACATGATTAATAGGTTGATCCCCACCCATACATTAACATTTAAAAGAGTGAATAGATGCCCAATGGGACAAGACCACTTTAGAATTTAGACAGAAACATAAAATAACGTTTTAATTAATAGTATGTTTCAATATTGGAAATATATTGGTCCGACTCACGCCGCTTTACTTCAAAGTCTAAACGCTCGTCATATCCCTATTGTTTTCTTGGTTACTTTGATGCCCATTCTCCAAAGAAGGCTTCTTCGTTGAGCTAACGAATTTGTTTTCAAAATCACCAATGTCAACTCCTTCAAGCTCCCATTCTCCCTTATACGGCCTGCTCTTCGCATATTTGTATACAATATATAGTATCATTTGAACAATTCCAAGCACAAATCCCAGCACGTTTGGAAACTGCACCAATATCCCGAATTAATATATAGGAACAGAAATTATAATAAAATTATACTCTCCCTCTTTCAAAAAGATTGGGACTATTTTTTTATTAGTCTATTTAAAAAAGATTGATATTTTTCAATATTTCCTTAACAAGAAGGATTTATAGCCACACAAGTGATATGATAGGTTTCAAACCACAAATTTCAAAAATAATTTAGCGGCACAAATATTATGGCTTATTTAAGATCATGTATCTCAAAAGTTTCTCTTATTTATTAAAGTTTGTGTCAAGTCAAATTAAGACAATCTTTTTAGAATGGAGGAAATAGGTGAATACATTATTAGTATATATAACTAACTTAAAATCCAAAAGAGAAAAAATATGGAGAAAGAAGAATATGATGTTATTGTTCACTCACTGCAATGTAATAGTCCTTTTTGAAATATCCATAGAAGAACCACATCGTGGCACAGAGAGTGAGGAATATTGATAAAGTAAAGGGCATGAACTCTACACTCTTCGTTTTTATTACTTGCCTCTGCAACACAAATATTGAGAATCAAGAAGTAATTAATTCATCAATAGAAGAGAAAAGAACAAAGATGACATAATAGTTCAATTTGAGAATGAAATTTATACTATACCATTATGCTTAAAGGAGCGGCAAAGACAGCAATATTGACGATAGCACAAATCCATCCAACTATTTCTACTCTTTTGGCGCCTTTTGCAAATAGATAAGAAAGTAACATCACTATTCCTAAGGCTCCCACGTCCAAGAGCATCAGCCACACTGTTGTGACCTGTAAATTTAACCCAAATACACGAGTTTTAAATGATTTTCAGGAAGATGAATTAAAAAAAAGAAGATAAAGTCAATGGAAAAGGAAGTAAATATTATACAAGCTTCTTTTTTTTTCTTACAGTACTATTAACTGTTAGTGTATATAAGCTGCTTCTACCGTTTCAATTTATGTGTGCTATTTTTTTTTTTTTGGTTTAAAAAAAATATATCTTTCTATATTTAGTAAGTTTTAATTCTAACTCTTTAATTTTACCTTTAATTACACTCCACATATCAAAATCACAAGACTTAACGGGTATTTTTGGTATGTTATAAAAAACACAAGATTCAAAGTTTTCTTCACATTCTTAAAATACGTGCTCAGTAAAACTAAGATATATAAGATGAAACTAGATGGAGCAAGATGGGAGAGCTGAGTTTATACCTTGGTCTTTTTGGAAGCATAAAAGAGAAACAAGAATAGGTAAGCTACTTCAATAACACATCCAAAGGCATTAATGGTGACGATGAGGATGGCATTTTTTATGAGATAACCATAGTATAGTAATAGTCCTGCACTGAAAAATGCAACGACATATGGTATCGCTTGAAACCCGTCTGATGATCCTTTTTTGTATATTTTGTAAAAAGTTGGACTGGAAAACAACAAAAAAAGAGCAATGTAAATATCCATAAAATTCTTCAAAAAACAAAACAAGGAGAGAGATGAAGAAGAGTTGCCTTACATTGGTGCTAAGAACACCATAAATGACACAATATTACCTGTAGAAATATAGAAACCATAAGCAATAAAGTTTAATTAGAGATCAGAAGTTGAAAATGGTAGTGACTAAACTAATTAAGGTGCATTAACGTACCTAAGAGGCCAAAAAGGAAAGCCAATTCTTGAACACTTAACAATGTCATTGTTACTATAATTTAGTGAAGTTCTTAGGTGGATATATATTTTAAAAGAGACTTGGAAAAACTTTGCCCATATGCGATGCTATTTATAGTGAAAAAAACTGCAAAGGAAAAACAAAGAACAAGAATTCGGCAAATTAATTAAGTGCTGTCATGAGTGTTTGGCAAGAACGTAGTGTATACATTCAGGTTTCTAATTGGCTTAAGATATTTGCAATGACATGCATATACATCCAAACTTACGGAGTTGAACATGTTCAACTCATATATAGCTTTTGAGGAGATTCGGTTTTTTGTTCCCCCTTTTATGTATACAATTTTTTATTTTAATTACTCCATATATTAGGGAAGGAATCAATGATTAACCCCGCTGCCACAAGGAGGCTTTACTTTATATATAAATTGGCCTTATTAAGAGATAAATGCAGGCTCTTGTATCAAAAGGCGTGGTATCAACGACTAATAATAATAATAATAATAATTAATTATTATTATTATTATTATTATTATTATTATTATTATTATGTTAACCACCATGTTAAAGTCGGATTATGAAGGAACAATTTATCTAGTTAAATATCTTAGCAACGATGTTTGCGTTATCTCTAGGTAATCAAAATATCCGAGGGACATGTCTAGGTACTGTAATAGTAGGGCTTGAGGTCACAATTGAACCTATATTCACTTTGCAAAAATATTTGTAAGTCTACCTACTTTACGATCACCTTCAAACTTATCGGGTCTGAAGTTAACAAAAATTAGTGTGAAGTGAAAAATTGCACTTCAGATACACTTAAGGTCAAATAGGTCAGAAGTGCAACTAATGGTTTCATGCACTTAAGGCCAATAAGTCTAAAGTGAAAAATTGCACTTCAGATGCATTTAAGGCCAAAAAGTTTGAAGTGCAACAATCATTTTCCTGCACTTATGGCCAATAAGTCTGAAGTGAAAAATTACACTTCAGATGTACTTAAGGCCAAATAGGTTTGAGGTATAACCAATTATTTCATGCACTTAAGGCCAATAAGTTTGAAGTAAAAAATTGCACTTCAGATGTACTTAAGGCCAAAAAGTTTGAAGTGCAACGAACGTTTTCCTACACTTAAGGCCAATACGTTGAAGTAAAAAATTGCACTTCAGATGCACTTAAGGCCAAAAGGTCTGAAGTGCAACCAACATTTTCATGCACTTAAGGCCAAATAGGATTGAAGTGCAAATTGCCCAGAAACGAAAATTTGCTATTCGAATTATAACAATCAAATATACGATTTAATACCTAAATCTACTCCAAATAAGCTCAAATTTGAAACATAATATCCAAATATCATCAAGAACAAACCCCAATCATCAATTTGTCAATACAACAATAAATCTAACAAACTCATTTTGCAATTAAGAAAAAGAAGAAGAAGAAACCCTAATCAATAGTAAAAAAAAATAAAATATCATAACAGCTCACCACTGTAAAACATTATAAATGACATAACAATATGTTCGCAAACACCATATAAAATCTCACAGGAAGAAGAAGAAGAAGAAGAAGAAGAAGAAGAAGAAGAAGAAGAAGAAGAAGAAGAAGAAGAAGAAGAAGAAGAAGAAGAAGAAGAAGAAGAAGAAAGAGGAGAAAAAAGCCTGAAATTATTTAAAAAGTAGGTACAAGTTAAAAAAAAATAATATAAGTTAAATGGGGACGACCAAGTAGGGTGCTCGTGCAATTTTTACTGTAATAGTCAGCTTAACAATGTCCGTATGGAACTATGTAATGGTACAAACCATATTCCCTAGTATTAATATATAATAATCCTTGTTTATAATAATAATAATAATAATAATAATAATAATAATAATAATAATAATAATAATAATAATAATAATATGACAGCAACAAAAATAACAATGATATCAACAATAATTCAAAGGTGGATCCAGAATTTAAACTTAATTAGTTTAAATTTGCACTGAATTCATTGTATTATTAAAATTATAGGTTCAAATCTAATATTTGTTAAGATTTTAGTAAATTCTTACATATATATTTGTACTTCATATCGAAATTCTAAATTCAAATGAACCCGCAGCTAAAAGACTACATCCACCCGTAACGATGACAGCAACAATAACGACGGGGTGATTTCAAATTAAGTTTGTTTTCTATTGTTCAGAGAAGTCAGTCATACATATATTAGGAGTATATGATATAACTAACTATTACCTAATTAAAGCTTAGTGCTTTATGGGATTGAAATGGTTAACTTAGTTAAGAATGTCTCTGTTTCTTGACTAGAGGTTCTAAATTTCAGAAGGTGCAATTACATCTGGTCTTGTCTATGCCAATCCATGAATGGAAAAATCTCTGCAGATCTCTAACCTCAGTGGTCTACTTAAATTTTATTGTGAATGAGAGGCGAAATCAGAATTTGAAGTTTATGTGTTCTGAATTTGTCATCGAAATTATAATTTATTTTAGTTACTGGTTTCTCACTTAAATATTTACACATATTTAATAAATTTTCTATATAAATATAAGATTCAAACAGAAATTACAGAGTAAGGGACGGATTCGGTGCCTAAAGTATGGTATACGTGATGGTATACGTGAACTCATGGTCTATCCATCAAATTAGATATTTTATGTTCTTATTTTTTAGAATTGATCTAATATTATTTAATGGTGCATTCATATTTTAGATATTTAAGATCCGCCTCTGAGATCTTTTGAACTAAGTAATACAATAGCTCTGTGCCTGCCTGAGTGATGGACGTTTCACGATGGAGAACTGCCGTCACGCAACCCCTAATCTATTTGGTTCTCTACTTTTAGTCTGCTGGTTGTGCTTATTTTTATGAAAATTTAAGATATTATTGAAATCTAATTTTACTGTTTCTTTCATCTAATTATAAGTTTGGCGTCGCTCACGTCCTCTTAAACCAAAAGATATTTTTCATTGTTTATCAAAAGCTGTCTGATATTAGGGCATCCGGCATTCCCTGATGCACCAATCGCAATCATCTCCTGAGGCATCTAATGTTCTATAACCTACTACTATCTACACGTCAATATCTAATTTATGAATTTAATTTATGTACATTGACAATATAGTTGTTACAATTTCAATGCATTTAAATATGTTCCAAGAACCAAATTAGGATTATTAAAAGTTAGGGGTATCTGTTACCGTTAGTTATGTACTAGTGCACAAGAAGTTAATTTAACTCTCAATTTATGTTGCTATGTGTGACGATCCGATAAGGTCGTTTTGAGTATTTCATTAATTTCAGTATTCTGAGACCTCTTATAGCTTCCTTTGATATTTATCGATTTGCGTGTGTGCTCCGTATTATTTTTCAAAAAGTTTTTACGTAAAATTTTGAAGAAAATATTATTTTTGGCCTAAAATGAGACTTAGGTTGACCGTGGTCAACATTCTTGGTAAACGACCTCAGATCGGTATTTTGACGATTCCGGTCAGGTTCGTATGATGCTTTTGGACTTGTTCTGACTTTTGGTTGGAGTCCGGGGTGACCCAAGCGCATTTCGGCGCGTTATGTGAAAAATTATAAAAATGAGTTTTAAAGTTGAAATTCTGGAGTTTTGATGATCGATTCGTGTTATTTGATGTAATTTTGATGATTTGAGGTAGCGAGCAAGTTTGTAGGATGTTACTACACTTGTGTGCATGTTCGGTTTGAAGCCCGAGGGGCTCAGATGAGCTTTGGAGGTGTTTCGGAAGGTTTTGGATTGCTAGTGCAATATCTAGTGTTTTAGGTCTGCAGGTCTCGCAATTGCGATAACCTGTTCGCAATTGTGAGTCCCGCATTTGCAGAGTTGGACTCGCAAATGCAATATGTGTGGAAGGGACTTTGGTCTTCGCAAATGCGAAGTGAAAGTCGCAAATGCGAGGTGGGTGATCCGCTTTTGTGATGGGGTGGTCACAAATGTGACTGGCAGGCTGGACAACTCTCGCAATTACGATGCCTGACTCGCTTTTGCGAATTTAGGATTATTGCAAATGTGATGCTTTGTGTCGCAAATGCGACGTCGGTGGACTATTTCACAGTTCGTTTTTGCGTACAAATGTTCGCATTTATGGGCGTCGCAATTGCGAACAAGGGTTCGTTATTGCGATACCTCCAGCTGAGTAAAAAGGGGAAAATCGGGATTTAGCTTATTTTACACCATTTCTCAACCTCAAACACTATAGAGGCGATTTTTGAAGAACCCTTTCTTTTCAAATTCATTGGTAAGCAACTCTAATTCATTTTTTATCAATTCCCATTAATTTTTATGTGTTTTAACATCAAATCTAGGAATTTCATGGTAGAAATTAGGGGTTTTGGGTAAAATTTAATAATTTTGTAAAATTGAGATTTAGACCTCAAATTGAGGTGGCATTTCGAAACAAATAATATAACCGGGCTCGGGGGTGAATGGATAATCAAATTTTGGTCCGAATCTCGGATTTGACCAAGTGGGCACGTGGTTGTCTTTTTCAATTTAACTAAAGATTGAATCTTTATCATTCATGGGTAGTTTTTACAACTTATTTTAAATTGTTTGAACGATATTAGGCTAGATTTGGTTGCGGAAAGATGTAAGTGTTACGTCTAACTTTGAGTTGAGGGAATTAGAACTTATTGGTCTATTTGTTATGTGAATTATGTGGAGAAACAACGTATATGCGAGGTGACGAGTGTATATGCGTTGTCATAGGTTAAAGCATGCAGGTTGGTGTAACGACCCGACTTGTCGTTTTAGGAATTTATATTCCGTACGGTGGCTTAAGGTCTCGATCAGCTTTGAAATGTGTATTATGACTTGCGAGGGTGGTCAAGTTTGATTTTCGGATGATTTAGGATTTAATTGAAAGAACAATTCTTGTTTTGGAAGCTTAAGTTGAAATAATTGACCGGATGATGAATTATGTGTAAACGACCCCAAAATAGAGTTTTGATTATTCCAACAGTTCTGTATGGTGATTTTGGACTTAGGTGCGTGTCCGTAAAATTATTTGAAAGTCCGTAGTGAAATTTTGCTTGAAATGGCGAAAGCTGAATTTTT